TCTGAAAAATTCGGAAATGTATGAAATCAATTATATTAGGAATATTATAAATCTAAACATTTCCTAAATAGTAAACGAAAATGTAGAATGATGATGAGCTCTATCAAATTGATTCCAAGAAATTAAAGGTTTTAAATTTTTTTTTTTCAAAATCTGTGTAACGCTATTTTATATTTTGCAGTCGATTTTTAAGCATTTTAGAGAGTAATCTTTCACGATATTTTAGTCATATGAGATTCCACTGCCCAACAGCTCGCCACTAGCTGCCTTGTATTTACTATTATGTAATTATTAAGATTAATTAAGATAATTTTACAATTATGATTTAACCGTAATGTATGAAACAGTCACCTTTCTTTTTCAGATTGTTGCCGGGTCTGGGCCCACCATTAGCACTATGATAGTAACATGGATATGCATGAACCTATGGGCACCTATCATATGGCCAGATCTAAAAGAAATGCCTGACTGGATTGCCGCTGCAAATAAATAAATTATAATAATAAGAAATTAGAACTATTTGTATATATAGTCAGAATTTTAATTAGATTCCAGATTTGACAATAGCTACTGTCATTTTGTGAAATAATGATACCACATATAATAGTGTAGTGATGAACACAAAAATCGATAAACAATCAGTGTGTTTGTTTTATAATAAATGTTACAGAAAGTGACAGAATAGCGATAGCGATGACGGCGACAATTTATAAAATAACTTATTACCATAATACATCTATCTGTTTTATTTGTCATGTTCCTTCGTGATTTCATTTTTTTATTTATTTCACACACAATTATAAAAGAAAAGTCTCAGATCGTTAATTAATCGTCAAAACTAAATTATCGGTTCAGGAATATTTAATTTCCAGATATACTTAGTTTACGGGAGTAAAATTATAAACCAGAAGAACCGATCCAGAAATATTGCATTTCCATATCGAATAATTTCGCAACGTCGCTATTTAGTACTTGTTGCAACACTGAAATTGCCAAATCTGGAATCGAATTAAAATTCCAAGTATAGTTTAGCTTATTATCTATTATAATTTAACTTTTACATATTAATATAATACCCGAGATATTCCCACCACCAATGTATTCAGGCAACTGAAATACCATAATTTGTTTAAGTAATTAATTGACTTCAGATTTTTACAATAAGCTCGTTCTATATACCTATCATATATGGTGGTATTTTATCAAATAAGTTTTTTTTTATTTAATTTAAAGTTAAACCTAGATAATCGTTTGTATGAGAAGTGGTCTCGTTTAGTGAGACAGCAAGATCTCAAAACAAGGCTGTTGAGCGGGATGCAGAGAGGACAGATCCTACTTGTCGTGGGCAACCGTCTTGACGCCGATGTGATGTCTGCTTTATCTGCAGTCAGATCTTTGGGGCCATGGGCGTACAGAGTGAGAAAAGAGACTCTGGGAACCACAAACGACACAGTGGTTACGTGTCGCGGTGCACAGCGAAGCTTAAACGAAATGCACGTCTCCCTGGGAATATGCCGTAACAGGCGTTATACCGTAGATACTTCGGAGCAGGTCTATTAGACGACCAGCAGCTGTAGCCAAATGCCACTTAGCGCTTGTCTGCATGTAGAATAGAAACCCAAATTATATGGAATTGACGTAAATTTTGACACTTGTCAGTGTCATCCCCATACATTTTGATTTCTACTCTCTCTCTCTGTAGACAAGCGCTAAGGTGGCGTTTGGCTAAAGGCCCTGGTGCCCCATAGGTGATAATGGTGGCCAACGGGGTGGTTTTAGTAAGGTAATAATCCTACACTCCCTAGTTTTTCTAAAAAACTGGGACTTTTTGAAGGTTTTCCCCCGTCATCAAAAAAAACCTAACCTTTTCTATAGATCTCAGGTGGTGGGGTCGGGAGATTAGCTACTGAATAACTTTATATTATCATAAATGTTGTTAAGTTAACTACATCCACTAAGGCATGGTAGCCATGGGTATATTCTATGGTAGAATAGAAACGACGGAGCGGTGCTGTTTATGTGTATGTGTTGCAACTAGAATAATTATCATGTAATTTGAGAAAATATTAAGGAATTAGGGAGAGTTAGCCGATTTTTTTTAAACGTGTATTTTTTTTTTGTTTTTACACGTAATAGTACCCGTTCGCAAATAGAAAGAAGCGTAAAACGGGGTGAATAGAATTCGAGGGGTGAATAAATGTAGGGAAAATATTATAACATTTATTCACCCCATTCCTGTATCTCTTCACCCCTCGAAATTCTATTCACCCCGTTTTACCGAATATTTGTAGTAACTTACAAGTTTGTTCGTCTTAGTATTAATATAGTAATATATGTTTAAAAAATATTTGTTTCATTTCTAATGCGGATGTGAACATCTACAGCTATCGGTCATTCCCGTTCGTCTGTCTCAACTTTGTCCCCACTGGTGACGAGTGGGAGTTTTGTCCCCTGGTATGCCGGGAGCGCAGATATACGCAAGACACAATGTATATGTCTATTGTGTCACATATACATCGCAGATAAGAGGTTAAATAATTTCCCATGTGTCACAAAAATATTTGTAGTGTAGTATTTACAGTAGCTTTGACTTACTACGGGAAGACTTATTACCTTAACAGGGCATTACCGTAAAACGGGGTGAATAGAATTCGAGGTGTGAATAGATACCCCATTCCTGTATCTATTCACTACTCGAATTCTATTCACCTCGTTTTACCGTTACCTTACTATAGGATAATGTTACAATCACATTTATGATATATGTAGGTACCTTACGAATTCTATTCATCCCGTTTTACGGTAATAGGTAATATAAACGCTGCCTCGTTTGCCGAGTGGTCGCAAGTAAGTACGACTGCCGGGCAAGGGGTTCGATTCCCGGGTCGGGCAAAGTATACTGGGCTTTGTAAAAATTCTCAGTCGTAGCACGGAGTTTGTAGCGTGCGTTACCCCAACAAGAAAGGTATCTCCTAGAGATATATGAGTAGAACGTATAGTTGGTGCCTTATCTGCTGTAAATGTGCCCCCACTTAAAAAATGTGTGCCCCCTGTCGTTTTGAAAAAAAAACGGAAAAATGATTCTTGCTGGGGTAACGTTTTTCTAGCAGGAAAATTCTAAACGAGTGATCGGAGAGAGAAAAAATGTGCCTGGCCAGAGAGCTTATATGTGTGCCACTATGTGCCCCCAAAAATAAAATCTGTGCCCCTTCAGATTTTCGGGATATTGCGTTTCCTGCTGGAGTAACGTTTTGATGAATCGTATATCTCTAAAACCATTGCATGTGCCCCTGTAGAATAAACATACACGAGTAGCTCTTAATGTGTGCCCCTGTGTGCTCCAATTAGATTTAAGGAAATATTTATAGTTTTCAAGTTACCGCGGTTTTATGAAAATCCGAAAAAACATCGCAGCGCCTAAATGAGACAAGGTATAAGTTCGCTGAAAACTGTATTCGGTCCTTCTTGATGCTAGTAATAACCATACAAAGTTTCAAAACGCTTCATGCATGCGTTTTTGAATAATCTTGCTACAAGTCAAGACGATGGTGTCATAACTTTGACGGCAAAATACAAGGAAATGGCTAAATCCCAGATGTGTAGGTGTAAACCAAAATCATGTGCCTTTAATCAAAAATATGTGGTGAAAATATTAAGCTTGGAATGTTTCGCATTAAGTAAATATGAACAAAAAACCAAATTAAGTAAACAACGGCTGGTTATCCGACCAAATTTGAATGACTACTAAAAAGCGACGGATTCATACATATCGATGACCTTCTTTATTGGACGTATTATACCTAAGCTGTTGTCCGTGCAGTTGCGTTCAAAAGTTTTGGGGGCTAATTAAAAAATGTATTAAAATATTTAACTGTGCCCGGTACCTATATGGCAATAGGCTCACCCCCTATTACATAAAATAGTGAAAATACAATGGCATAATATGCACCTCTGCCTTAAATTTTTATCTGCGATAAAAGAGGCGTGATGTTATGTTTTGTTATATAGATGCGATTGTTTATGAGAAGTGTTTGTTACCTACTCTTTCACGTCAAAATGGCTGAAGGGGTAGAGATTAAATTTGGAAGAGAGGTACCGTAAAACGGGGTGAATAGAATTCGAGCGGTGAATAGATACAGGAATGGGGTGAATAAATGTTAGAATATTTTCCCAACATTTATTCACCCCTCTTCTATATCCATTCACCCCTCGAATTTTATTCACCCCGTTTTACCGATATAGGTATTATATGGTATTAGGTATATTATACATATATTACACAGGTCACTCTTATTATCCACGGAAACGCGAGCGTAGCCGCCGCCTGAAACTAGTAGGTGCATAATTATAACAACATTATAGACTTTATTTCCGATGTTTAGAGACTACTATTGTATGAACAAATTTAGGGACTGATATTTCAACAGGTTATTAAAGAATTTTGTTTAGGACTTGAGGCACCGGCTTAACTATCAGTGGGGTAGTATACAATGAATAATAGTTTTAGTTCAGTTTATAGTTCTATCGGTTTTTTATACGTAGTTTTATTTTTACCCCTAACCCACTCCTAACGTTTGAGAGATATGACAAATACAAAATTGGCTCTTCTTGTTTGTAGTCCATACCGGTACCTACAGAACCGCGGAGGACTTAACGAGTTGCCAGGGCTCCGGCTCGAAGGGCAGGAGTAGGAACGGGGTAGTTTTTAGTCAGTAAGAGTCTGACACTCCCTCCCGCCTCACCAAGGCGTGGGAATTCATTCAATGATGTTCCCCCCTTAAAAAAAACCGGTACCTAATGGGCACCGGTACCTCATAAAGTCCGTTAATTTATTACATATTTTGCAACAGTAGGTTCAAACACTTACAACCTCCCCGCCATAAGCCATCTAGTTTTTAATTGCAAACATATACCTAGTTATCATAACCATCTCGATAAGTTCTCTGATAAGCGTAGCGGTAGTAGAAAATAATTTCTTTATTACCTTTTAAATAATTGTTATGGAGGACACTCAGGAAAGTGTTACCGATCCTCAAACAGAAAATCAACCTGAAGTTCTGTAAGTTGTCAACTTTGAGTACCTATAAATAAATAATAGAACAATATCCTGCATAGTCAACGACGGCTATTGTATCCCAATCAAAATATTTCGCAGCTTCTCAAAATTCACGTGTTTAGTGACTTTTGGAATAAGGTTTATAAATTCGGTCGTAAAGGTAAATTTGGTGTCGCGGAGAACCTAACGGGTTACCGGGGCTCCGGCTCGACGTGCAGGAGCAGGAACGGGGTGGTTTTTAGTCAGTAAGAGTCTGACTCTCCCTCCCGCCTCACCCAGGCGGCAGCAGTCATTCAATGATTTTCCCCCTTAAATATAAAAAACCTGGTGTTTTAAGTGTACCCGAACAGTGTCGAGTATCATACCATCAAATGACCAGTATTTTCATTACCCTCTCTCTATTAACCTCTTGACCGCCACGGTCAGCTATAGCCGACAAACTAAATGTACTTTAAAACATAATATATTTTTGTCGGCTGCAGCCGACCGTGGCGTTCAAAGGGTAAAATCATAGTTTCATTATTATAATGCAGGAATGAAGATGAAAAAGTATCGCGGAAAAGAAAACTAGTACTATTTCTAAGTGTTCATTGGCGCGGAATAGTTTGTTTGGTCACTCCCTTGATATTTATCGCCGTGCTTGCACCATTTCCTCCAAAGGTTTGATATTATTATAATACAAAATAAAATACATGCATAAATCTTAAATGAATGTCGAGCGTAACGGGACCTATCATTCATTTAAGGCATTTAATACTAATGTCTTTCATGTCCTGTAAAACTTGGAGAATATGTTTTGATAGGCGAATAAGGACATGATGATGAATAGATATTATAATAGTATTTATCCTAAATTAACTATAAATCGCGGGTTACTCTCATACTGAAATAGGTACTGAGAAAAGCTACTCGTTTCTCGTGAGTAACCCGCGATTTTTAATTAGTTTAGTATGTCTCACGATATTTATTATAAAAACAGTATCCTTATCCTGGAATTAAACTAAAGCGTTGACATTATTATAGTTATGTTATTTTTCTATGGCGGCACCTATCGACTAAAAAGAGTAGGTAGAAGAAACTTATGTTAGCTTCGTATTGTACACGAGAAGACTGTAGCAACCTCGTTGAAAACGAAATTCAAGCAATGACTAAGAGATGGCGTGCTTAACAATTTGTTAACTTTGTAACAGTCAACTACTACAGCGCGTACTTGTACCAACTTTGTAGGTAAATCATAGAGATTTAATAATCCCAAAGTCAAATCCTTATGTGTGATCACTTTGATTGATCGGAGGATTCTATCCTTTTTGAAAGCGACATGTCAAACTGTTTCCCTAAAGCTACTTCTAATGTAAGCTCTATTAGGGTTTATATTTGAAAAACCTTACAATACCTAAACTTGATTAAGTACCTCATCTTATACTGATATAATTATAAAGTTGAAGAGTTTATTTGTGTGAACGCGCTAATCTCAGGAATCTCAGAAATATCACTACATAGTATAAAACAAAGTCGCTATCCGCCAACTGTCTGTCCCGATGTATGCTTAGATCTTTAAATCTACGCAACGGATTTTGGTGCGGTTTTTTTTTAATAGATATAATTATTTTTAAGAAAGGTTTATATGACAAACTGGCTAACGGGCATGTTATAATACATGCATATTGCACCCGTGCGAAGCCGGGGCGGGTCGCTAATTTATTATATAAAGCTAAAAATTTTGTTTGTTTGTTTAAAAGCGCTAATCTCGGGAACTATAATACAATAGTGAATTTACAAAGAAAAAACTGTTTAGCCCGTTTATATTGGTTAGCCCGTTTGTCAAGGAAAACTACATACATATATGCTATAAAACTTTTACGCTTCGATCAACAGGCAACAGGCAGCATTGCGGGCGAAACCGCGAAAGAAACTAAAATAGGGATTTTTTACTGCACCTCTATTCAGAAATTTAAGCTAACTAAATTTCTCCACTAATAACCTACTGCATATCAAAAAAATAAACCATAAAACAAAAATACTGATTTGCACACTAATTGTTCAATATTAGGTTAGGTTAAGTTTGTTATTTTTGTTGTATTTATTTATTTATTTTATTTATTTATTTAAGCTTCATGCACAATGTATACATTAGGTGGACTTAATGCCGCAGGCATTTTCTCCCAGTCTGACCTTTGGGTGATGCAGAGAAGTCAATGGTGTGAGCAAGAAGCATTTAATTGAGCAATCAAAATAGATACACTTACATATTTCAGAGATAAACACAAATAGACATAATTATAATATATATACCTACACACGAGTACAAGACAATAACCATACATGCATTCATACATATACATACATACATACATACATACATACATACATACTTACATACATACATACATACATACATATAGACTGTAAGTAATTAGCGTGATGATTCAGCCAACCTCTCCAAGAGAAGCTCACGCACTTTCTGCTTAAATGATGATATATTTTGTTGCACTCGAAGGATTATTAGATTTACTTTTAGTTAAACGATAGTCATTCAGTAAAACAGTTAGGTTTTAGAGATCTAAGAGTATAGTATAATTGATTTATTTGATGAACAAATTTTGTGTGCAATTTAGTATTTTTAGTGGAAATTTCGAGTATTTAATTTTGATTGAAAAAAGGAAATTTACAGTTAAAATATTAAATAACACCCGTTTAAAATAGTTATGTATATTATGATTCTTGATTTTAGAAGTATCAATGGTGTGCATACACCCTTCTTATAATGGCTGTCTTCTGGGTGACTGAGTGCATTCCGTTACCTATAACATCGTTTCTACCTATAGTGATATTTCCCATGACTGATGTAATGGACACACGTACGACATGTCTGTGTTACATGAATGTAAGTTTATAATATTATAATTTTTTAAGAAATTAAATGAATTAATATGGTTTCGGCTTGCATACGTAACGTAACTATTTGTTAAGGATCTCGACTAGTTTCAGCTGCGCGACGTCGTGCCGCCGAATCCTGCCCATGAATATGAGCCTATACTACATACATGCCTAATATGAGCCTATAAAACATAACATTATGAGCATAATTATTAAATTAGTTACGCGAGTAAGCCGAAAACGTAATAATGAATGAATCTAAATTGGCTCTAATTTTTTTATATTTATTAGGGTGGCGTTTGGTCACCATCTCGCCTAGTGGTAAGCGATACTATGGCTGACATATTTGTATTTCTCTAACATTGTGTTCGTTATCAATTTTTCATAGAACACACGATAGTCTTCTTTGATTGAAATACAAAACAACGTAAATCTAAGCTAAAATTAGTCGGAGCTGCGAAGGACTTAACGAGTCACCGGGGCTCCGCCTCGAAGAGCAGATGTAAGAACGGGGTAGTTTTTAGTCAGAAAGAGTCTGACACTACCTCTCGTCTCACCCAAGGCAGGTGACAGAAAGATTTTAGGAAAGATTAGAAATTTAAAATTTGATTTAATTTGTCTTTATTTTCAGGATACCATTCTTATGTTTTACGGTAGCATGGTGCTTGCATATGCCGTGGAGCAATCAGGATTGCATAAAAGACTAGCACTCTATGCGATAAGACTGATTGGTTACTCTCACTACAGGTACCATTTATTTTCCAAAGGTTACTTCTATTTCTTGGTCTTATTCAAGATCAGTAGTAGAGTTTAAGACTTCACTTGCACGTTCATTCATACATCCACCGCTATTAGGGTCCAGCGTTGCATTTTCAAAGCTAGGCTTTGGGCGTTAACGACTAAATTGCAATGGTTATAAAATCTCTCGTGCGAATTGAGTTATGTACAGAGTGATAAAAAGAGAGAAACAGAGAGTGGAGATAATGGAAAAAAAGCACATTGGTTTACCTCACAAGTCAATGTTTTGTAGAAAGAAGAAGGCTAAAAACAACTTTAGCCACTATGCCGTTAATTTGTTCTTGTTCCTTTTTAGCTAAAGCGATTTAAAGAATAAAGTGAAATAAGTCTACCAAGTCATCTTGCCTGTGCCTTTTATAGGGCCCACAGTTACCTCGGTCGCGTTTGCGTTTATGAGAACACTGCTAGGTTCCATGTTTGCATGTAATATCTTGTAATAAATAGATTTTAATTTTATCTTTTTCCTTTTGACTTATAGGTTGTTGTTAGCAATGTCACTTACAACAATGTTCGTGTCAATGTGGATCACTAACACTGCCGCAACTACTATGATGGTGCCTATAATATTCGCTTTGTTAAAAGTATTTGAAGATGTAAGTAACTTATTTCTAATTTAAGAATTATTTTAGATATATGAAAGGTAGTCACAAGTTCGACTGCTCAACAAGGGGTCTCGTGGTCGATTTCCGGATAGGGCAAATTATTATTAGGATGAGTTAAGTCAGAAAATTTCTCAATAGTCACATGGAGTTTGGGTTTGTGTCCGGTATATAGTAGTAGGCTCACCTCCTATAGACTAATAACATAACTAAAGCTAAAAGGATAAAAGTGGGTGTACACTTAGTATACGTGCCCTTAAGACAAGGATACACTTGAGGACAAACGTCCCATGACATATATCGGCGACATATCAAGTGAAGCCTGTCGATTTTGCCTGACATATTATATCCACAGCAACGTTGATGTTGCCAGACATATCAACCAAAGTCTGGCAAAGTCGCACTACTCCACCCAATGCCACTAGCGACACGTGTCGCATTTGTAAGTGTATTGGCTTTATGTGGCATTTTGCTCATTTCATTGGTGGTAAAAGGTGTGATGGTATAAAAACGACTAATGGATCTTTAACTCTCTTTAGTCTTCCATGCCGATCGATAACTTGCTACTAATTATCTGCGAATAGGTTAATTATTAATGTTTATTACCAATGTACTAGCTTTCACTAAGTTTAACTCGTCGAGTACCGGTTTTGTAGACACAATTATAGAACAATAGGTTGCGGTCACCGGTGACCTCTTGGTGTTTGACAGTTTAAAAAAATACAAAATTTTGGGACGTTGTTTCATGACGTCATAGTAAAATGTTTATTTTGTAGGAAAAGTACAAGTTATCAAAACTTTAGATGCATAAATTTTTGCCAGTTTTGATAGTACGAAAAACGTTAAAATTCTTCATTCTCTCGAGTACTTTTATTTGCTGCCGTCTTTTTTTTAAGAAAAATCATCGATTGACTTCTCCTACCTGGGTGAGACGGAAGGGAGTGTCAGACTTTTACTGACTAAAAACCAGCCCGTTCCATCTCCTGCACTTCGAGCTGGAGCCCCGGTAACCCGTTAGGTTCTCCGCGACTCCGAATCGATAACAGCCCTATTGGGCCCTATCCGTGGTGCTCTGATAGCTCTTTGAGGTGCGCGCGGAACGCGACGCGCTTTACGCTCGGGTCTGGTTCTGGTCGAGCGGCGAGCCCTGTCTACCATCAGTCCACGATACGGCTTACCTATCGCTACTTTATCTTGCAGATTATAAATACTACGTTGGTGACTCTTTGTGAAAACTTGAATAGTCTAACTTAAAATTTGATTTATTTTAGCTCGACTTGATATCTACTTTCGAGGAAGACAGTAATGGTGACTTAACTGCTTCAGACATAACGACTTGCTATTTTTGTGGTGCTTCTTTTTCAGCCACTATAGGTGAGTTTTAAGTCATAGTTAACTTAACGAATCTCTGTAAAAGAAAGTCGTGTTAGTTACACTATTTATAACTTAAGAACGGCTAAGTCGATTTGGCTGAAAATCGGTGGGCAGGTAGCTGAGAACCAGGATATGGATGTAAGATTCTTTTAGATTATCTAAGGTTTTCCCGAAAACTCAAGAGAAACGGGAAAATGGGATAGCGCGTCCGAAGTCGCGGGTAGAACCTAATTATTTAGCCTAGTTAGTTATTATATGAACATTAGGTAAAAAATTTGATTGTCCAGTACTTAAGTTTAGTAACAAAATTTTTATTTAGTTCGAATTACGGTAAAATAAGATATACATACTTATTTTTACTATTTACCTACCTACTACCTTTGCAGGCAAATCGAAGGGTTATAATAGTCTTTTATTTTAGGTGGCATTGGTACTCTGGTGGGCTCTGCAACTAATTTAGTTTTCAAAGGACTATATGAAAGGTAATATTTCTAAAGGCTTGTACTGAACTTGCAGTTTATGTATGTGCGTGTATGTAAGTACTTATGTATGTATGTATGTATTTTTTTTTTTTATTAATCATAATTAATTAGCGTAGTTTTTTTATGGCGTATGTCGGTGAAACGAGCAGACGTATCACCTAATGGTAGGCAACCGACGCCGCACATGGACACCCAGAACATCAGAGGCGTTTCATGTGCATTTACCGGCCTATTGGGGATTAGGAATTCAAGGATTGTTAGGCATGGGATTGGGGAGATTGGAGGGGGTAATTGGGCCTCTGGTAACCTCACTCATACGACGAAACAGAACGCAAGCGTTGCTTCACGTCGGTTTTCTGCGAGACCGTGGTATCACTCCGGTCGACCCGGCCCATTCGTGCCGAAGCATGGATCTCTCACACTTACATTAGTAGTTTAATAGTGATTTAATTACATTGCATTGCACATTACATTTAATTAATATTTGTATTGATTGGTTTAACGTATTAACGTTTTGGTCGGCTTTTAGGGCGTTTCCATCGGCACCGGATTATTTATCATTTCCCAAGTATTCAGCATTTTCAGTTCCATTCATGTTGGTATTAGAAGCAGGATTATATTTCACTATGGTTGTGAAATTTTTCGGATTTTTAAGGTAATATACGTACTATTAAAGTACTTATTTTTGAGATTATTTTGAAATAACATAAATATTACCTATTATTAATCATTGTCTCACACTACTCAAATGTATAAATTTTGCTTATGTGACTTTGATTTAACCACTATTGAAGAATCATTAAACAACTTTGTCTTATTGGAAAACATATGATGCAAATAATCATTTTGCCATTATTGACGTGAAATTAACATACTTTCTCATTTCAATTCAGACCTAAAAGTGAGACTGCAAAACGAATAAAAATTCCTGAACAAGCAATGCAAGCCGCTAAAGATGCTGTTGAACAAAGCTGGAAAGAAATCGGAAAAATTACTTTTTGGGAAATTGTAAGACGTGTGAATATCATATATATACTATTACTAGCTTTTATCCGCGGCTTCGCTCGCGTCACAAAAGGATAAAAAGCCAATGTGACATATACCAATACACACAGCGCCATCTATATCAATACTTTTGTTTTCCCTCGGGAATATCCGAGATAAAAAGTATCATATTATTTAATCCGGACTTCTAACTATGCATCTGCAAAAATTCAAAGCAATCGGTTTAGTAGTTATGGCGTGAAAGCCGAACAAACAAACTCACTTTCCAATTAATAATATTAGTAAGGATATAAAGCGGAAGTTTGTTTTTTTGTTTGTTTGTTTAAACGAGCTAATCTTCGTAACTACAAGTCTGATTTGAATAATTCTTATTGCGTTGGATAGCGCATTTATCGAGGATGGCTATGGGCTATAAAATATCACGCTACGATCAATAGGAGCTGAGCAGAGCGTGTGAAACCGCGCGGAAGTAGCTAATGTATTATAAACTAGTTGATCCCCAGCATCACCCGGGCGCAGTATTTTGACTTTCCTGGTGAATGTATCGAATATTTAATTCTGTATTCAAAACTGATAATAATTTTACACATTTACTAAGTACAATATTACTGTCTCGTTGGTGGAGTGCTTAGCAAGTGCGACTATTAAGCGATTTTCTACAGTGTTCAGTTTGAAACAATTTGCCGATGTTTAATAGCGATGACGACGGTAATTTTTTGTACGGCAAATTTTATTATCGTACGGCTCTCGGCTTCTCGCTTCGTCGTGACCGCTAAAAACGCTGTAGAACCCATAGCAATTTTTTTTCGACAACATGATTTTGATCGTCTACATTCGTCATATGTGTACGTATAAAGGAAAGTGTGAGGTAGCTTAGAAGCAGGAGACAGACGTAGGTTTTCCCTAGGAGCCTATGGGAGGTGGCGATCAGAAGCTAACAAGTTCAATATTTTTTATTTATCAGTCAAGCCTCGTTAAGATGAGTCATTTCAAATGTGAGTTTGTTACTTTGTTAGCAGCGGCTCATTATGATAAAACAAAAATAAATCTTAAAATACTCAATGACTTTAAAAGTTGGAAGTTTGTGATGGCTATGTACAAAGCGAGTAGTGGCGGACAGATAACGACCGCAGCGCACAACACGGCAGAAATTGGAAACAAATGGGGATGATCAGCTGTCAAATGTATTGATTGTAGTACAAAATCAAAGCAAAGAAATGGACCATGGCTCGTATTAAGTAGCTCTGGCCGTTATGTCGCAGTTCTTCCACATTTCTTACATGCTCGGCTAATACTAAATTTACTGCCTTTTGGCTCAGTTTGTGGTTGGAAACTAATATATATATATAATAGTTTCAAACCCGGTTTTTATTATTATATTCACTTTACAGTAAAACTATTGAATAAATTGCACTTAAATAATGTCAAACATACTATTTTAATTTTTAGTTTTATTTATATTTGCAAAGAAAACTATAGTGTTTACATTGTTATTATTTGACAGTTTCCGCAGATGTTGTAAACGCTACGCGTCGCCACCGTCGTGCACATAGCCAGGTAGTTTGTGACGTTTACAATTTTATTTCACAGATGGTCCTAATTTTATTCAGTGGTGCAATGCTTATGTTTTTCTGTCGTTCACCACAAATATTTTACGGATGGGGAGACGCAATTAGTGACTACTTTAAACTAAATGATTATAAATAGTACGTATACTTAAAACTTTATTTACATATATGTTTAATTCGAAGTCGTAAATCTTTCGTTTACTGAGGCCTTAGTACGAGTTTCTTTTACGTTTAAAGTATTCGAAACGAAATTGCGTTCGGCGCTGTGATTGGCCGGCTCTAATGAACCAACCAATTAGAGTGCCGATTGCGTACTCGTTTCTACTACTTTAAACGTAAAACAAACTCGTACTAAGGCCTCTGGTCACTTGAATCTGTTATTTTGTTATCACTGAATGTTAAAATTACTAATCTCTTTCGTAAAATAGTATCTATACAAGGTGTTGTTTTAAAGCCGCGTCATTTTCTAGAAGGTAACTCGGCTATCGATTCTGAGTGCGAATCAATAAAAAAATTGTAGGTAGATATTTTTCATTGTTCTATAAATTACGGAAATGCGTAACTGCAAACTATACGCCACCGTCTTCTAACTAGGTTAATAACTCGGCTTAACACACACAAACTCAAACACGTAATTGATATTATTCCTAATTCCGTAAAACTCCAATAAGCAACATTTCTATCGCTTATTCTGAAATACTGTCGAACTTAAACGATTTATTATAACCATATTTTTAACTATTCGCCCGAAACTCTCTATTACATTGACCCTTTATGACTTCAGTGACAAGCCCCCGAGGAATGTCACGGTTTCAAAACTACACCTTGTATATTATTCAAAAATATTATTAATTTTATCGTTTATTTTTTTCAGTGTACGAGATTCAGCAGCTGCTTTACTAGTTGGTTTCTTAATGCTCCTTTTGCCATCTACTCTAGAGTTTTTTAAAAACTTCACCGCACCAAGTAAGTATTTGCTTAACTTTATAACAAGTAAATAGGTTGACTGCCTCGTTGGCCAAATGGTCACAAGTGCGACTGCCGGGCAAGGAGTCTCGGGTTCGATTCCCGGGTCGGACAGAGTATTTGTGGAATGATCTGTCGTCGGCGGTATTTCCGAACCGCTACGACCTTCAAACCTTTAAGAAATGAGCGTACTCCTTTTTAAAAGGCCGGCAACGCACCTGTGACTCCTCTGGTGTTGCGGGTGTACATGGGCGGCGCTGATCGCTTACCATCAAGTGATCCGTCTGCTCGTTTGCCTCCTATTCCATAAAAAAAACACAAAGAGTTGTTCCGTGAGGGAATCGAACGCGCGACATTTTTCACAGTATCTGCGTCAACCAATTATATTTTCCCTTTATTTTTCTATTTAATTTTTTTTTTCTTATGTTGGACAAATTTAACACTTTCTGAGCTTAACACCTCTCCCCTTATTATTGTATGACGCACCTGGCGAAAAATTGGTATCATATAGCATGACGTCATTATTAATTAAGTTATAAAATCTGTTTCAGTTAACGAGTTGCCTAACAAACGAATAACTTCAGTATTAAGTTGGACAGTAATGAATGACATAATGCCTTATAGTTTCATGTTTCTCTTAGGTAATAATTCTTCATTTTTTATTGAAATGTAAAAACTGAAATGTTCGATACGAATTCTTACTATCATCATCAGCACGTTTATGTCCTAGGATTATAATCCTAGGCCCACAACCCCACATAGGCCAAAATGAGTCAGAGTATTTTCATGTAGGTAGAAATTAGACATTTAGTATTCAAGATCGCCTCATTGGCCGAGTGGTCGCAAGTGCGACCCGGGTCAATCAAAGTACTAGGTAATGGGTTTTTTAATTTTCAGTAGTAGCACGCCCAGTATATGGCAATAGACTCGTCCCTATTACAAGAGACTCATAACATAAATACTGAACGGTGGGTGTTACATTGTACAGTGGTATTAAATGCCGCAATGGGCACCTATGCCTAACCCTTCGGTGATACAAGGCGTAATGTTATGTTAGGTTATGTTTTTCAATATTGGTTATTGTGATAGGACTATAGAACTGGGCCTCCAGTATCCTCATTCAAGCGTTGTTTTACGCCGGTTTTCTGTGAGACCATGCTATATCCCTCCGGTAAAACCGCACGACAAAGATTTTGGAATGTAAAATAGCTGGCTGACAACTTGTGAAAATCTTTATTTTGACTACATATTATTTTGTCTCGAAACCTATAATTATTATCGTATTCAAAAAAGTAATTATTGTAAACATTTCGTTTGCTATAAGTGTTAAGTTTATACAGATATTATAGAGAATTAAATTCTATACCTATAACTTTTGAATGAATTCCTTTTTTACGTGAATTAAATTACTTTCGGTAAGATAAAATAAAAAAAAAAGAAATCGCCTTGTGCGATAAGACCGCCCATTCTACACTATTTTTGTTAAAAGTTATCCTATAATTCGATTGTGTGGTGTACAATAAAGCATAATTATATTACCTCTATTATTATAAAAATAAAAACAAAATAACTGACTTTCAGGAGGTGGTTTTGCACTCTCAACGGCTGCCAAGGCGGAATATTCAGATTTGAATGGACAAATTGGGAAATTACTTAAAACTCTTAGCATCTTCCCAAATTACTTTATAATATTATTAATAATCATCTTTACAGTGTTTGTGACTAACTTTGCATCAAATGTGGCGGTTTGTAATGTAGTTACGCCAATAGTGATGCAACTAGTAAGTAATGTTTTTCTTATTATTCCCGATAGCAAAAAACTACATCGTTATTTTGTCACTCGCGTATTAAAGACCCTTAAGACCCTTACCTATTTCCGACATTATGTCGGAATACTGAAACGTTACTCAATTTTAAGTCGCGCTTAAGTATAGTTCTGTCACCACTAATTCTTTGTAAAATGACAGAGATGGCACGATATTTGAGCACGACTTCAATTTGAGTAACGTTTCAGTATTCCGCACTAAGTAATAAGCAAAATGAAGTTGAAATTGAATTGAGTAAGTAGGTTTACATAAAGTTCCAAATAATACTAAGTACTTAATTTTTTAGACATGAAACGACTTTAATGACTTTATGAGTCACCCACGTCACACTCACCACCGAATCGGAAATACCAAACCATTAATAAATGTATCTTTTGCAGGCTAAAGAAATAAACATTCACCCACTGTGGTACAATGTGGCTTCTGGGGTTTCATCATCATTCTGTTTCTGCCTACCGGTGGGAACTCCAGGGAACCTAATAATACAGAGTTCTGCAAAAATTCCTACATTAAAAATGGTGAGAGTACAATATAATCAAGATAATATTCCTATTTAGAAAGTTAAAACGTTGGATGCAGGTTGCTACCATAGACCTGTAATAAGACCTTATCTATTTTGCTTTTGCTACCAATCGACCGATCTGGGAGTTTCAGTACGAGAACTGCTAAGATGTGGAATTCCTTACCATAATATATGTTCCCAAAAGGGTCTTTGTTTACAACCTGTCTTCAAGCCTCGAATGAATAAATTGGTTATGCTTAGGCGTGGTCTGCAGTCGACCACATCATTGCTTACACCAGGCGATTTGGTGACCAAACCAAGTAGAACATAATTACAGTTGTTCAGAATAAATGGACGTCTTGAATTATAATGTTCATAAAGTTATTAGGTGCAGTAGTATGACCTACCGAGCTAGAGTACTCGGTTTGGTTAGGTTTGGTCTTTAATGTTCAGTTTCTAAACTAATAAGACAATTTTGTTGCAGATGAAAGTTGGTTTTTGGCCATCAGTTGTAACAATACTAATAACGTGGGGTAGCATGTATTTCTGGGCGCCGGTCATGTGGCCAGATTTAATCAGCGAATTACCCCAAGATAAATATTATATACAATGAAAAATATGTATTTATAAAGCAATATACTTTAATAAACTAACTAGCCTTTAATTATCTCGTGGCTTTATGCAAAAATATACGACTAGACCTATGTACAGAGATGTTTTCCCATGGACCGACACAATGTTTTGGTAGGCCTTACCTTGCCTTTTACCCAATGCCCAAAAAGCCTTCGTCTCAAATGCTATGGTTGGTTACATATGATTTTTTTATCGGTACGAAAGATATACCCAGAACTTATTACCAGATATTTCCTTTTTTGTAACTCAAAAAACATTTCTTTAAAAACCTTTCCAAATCCCTAAAAAGGGAAATATGTGCGATCCCAAGCAACCGTCCCATGTGCTAGAAAAGGAGTGAAAACCCGATGTGTGAAAATACTACCAAAAACTCCTTATATTTCTAAGCCTTTGACTGCCAATAGGTAACTGTTTTCAACTTATACTAATATTTAGCTGCATCAGAATCAGAGATATTAAATGTTAGGGATTATTAATATCATGCTATAATTTAATTATTTAATTTGTATTTTTTATTGTGTAATATCGGTCTAAAAGCGGTCTAAAAGGCGGGAAAACGAATGGGATTTTGAACGGATGGCGTCATTCTAAAAGTACCATTGCCGCGGTAAGTCCCAGTCCCTCTTTCAGGATTACCTTTAGAGTCGCTATGGCGTTCTCATCTACTGCCTGACGCAGGTACTTACCGGACGCGGAAGTTTCAGTAGGTTCCTGTTTCGGATTGGGCCCGGAGGACACAGTATAGCATACGTTGGCGGTGTGCCACGCGTAGGATTTGTTTCAATATTTTTTTTATTTACTTTGCCCTGCATGGGCTGCGCACCGCCGTGTCCTTAGGGATGTGATCGGCGACGGTAACTTCTCGCATTCGGCTATGGTATATACGGTGGTACGGAGCGAAGAGGACTGGGATGCCGTCTCTTTAGCAGTCATGCTAGCACGGGTAACTCGCCGTCCAACCAGAACCAGACCCGAGCGTACGTCGCGTCGCGTTCCGCGCGCGCCTCGAGGAATCATCATACCACCACACATGGGGCCCAATAGAGCTGATGCAGATACAGAGCCGCGGAGGGTTTAACGGGTTACCGGGACACCGGTTCGAAGTGCAGGAGTAAGAACGGGATGGTTTTATAGTCAGAATTTTAATTAGATTCCAGATTTGACAATACCTACTGTCATTTTGTGAAATAATGATACCACATATAATACCACATATAATAGTGTAGTGATGAACACAAAAATCGATAAACAATCAGTGTGTGTGTTTTATAATAAAAGTTACAGAAAATGACAGGATAGCGATAGCGATGACGGCGACAATTTATAAAATAACTTATTACCATAATACATCTATCTGTTTTATTTGTCATGTTCCTTCATGATAACATTTTTTTATTTATTTCACACACAATTATAAAAGAAAAGTTTCAGATCGTTTATTAATCGTCAAAACTAAATTATCGGTTCAGAAATATTTAATTTCCTGATATGCTTAGTTTACGAGAGTAAAATTATAAACGAGAAGAATCGATCCAGAAATATTGCATTTCCATATCGATAATTTCGCAACGTCACTATTTAGTACTTGTCATAACGTTGCAACACTGAAATTGTCAAATCTGGAATCGAATTAAAATTCCGATTATAGTAAGAGTCTGATACTTCGTCTCGCCTAACCTAAGGCGGGAGAAGCCATTCGATGATTTGCCGCCTCAAAAATAGGAAGGGGGGGGCGGTTAATGAAACCATTTAAAAATATTCTTATATATATATATTCAACAAATAAAAACAAAACATTATAACTTAATCCACACGCATAACATAAATATAACAAACTCTTATAATTCACACAATACAGGCCTTGTTTCACCTCTGGGAACCAATTTTCGAACAACCCAGATTGGTACACGAGATGTTAGACGAGTTAGAGTTTAAATTTTTTAAATTATTTTTGATGCGTTTGTTGATTATCGGCCAATGCCAATGCCCATAACAGCATATTTTGTTATGTTTCAGTTTAATGAACTTATAATTTGACGTATTTTTGTCATATGTCGGTAAAATTAAACAAATTGATTGGCAGTGGCAAAACAAGCCATTTCTATTATTACTATTAGTAATAAAATAGTTTATATCAATACATATACATACTAATATAATTATTAACATTATTACACACTTATTAAGGGCCTTCGCCTCCGCCCCCGCCTTCACCGCTCTCTTCAGTCGTCGTTGCTTTTGTCGCGCCTGCTTGAATTGGTGCATCAACGGCCACAACACCCAAGTCATTTGGGTCAAATAGATACGGAGCCCATAGTAGCAGAGCAAAGTATAAACAAAGCATGCAAATGAGCACAGACATAATATTGTATTTTATCTGTAAAAATAAATAAATGACGATAACCAATACGCAAATTATCTGTTCTCTATAACTAAACATCATCGTCTAAGTATAAAATTGGACTTGAAACTTGATCGATTCACGAGTTTCGATTCGGACACTGACGTCTTACCCTATAGACTCTTACCTGCACAGATTTATCTTCCCGTACAAACCTAGGTCCTAGCCATATTACAACCGATTCAAATCAAATCTAATTCCACAATCACCACAATGATCTTAGAAAACGATAAGTATTTATTCTATAGGTTTTTATGTGTGTAATATACACATATGGTTGACTGTAAGGGAATGCCTTTGAGCATTAAGTACAGCATAATTTAAAATATTTATTTATTTAAGCTTCATACACAAAGTGTATATAAGGTGGACTTAATGCCGCAGGCATTTTCTCCCATTCTGACCTTTGGGTGATGTAAAGAAGAGTTAATGGTGTGAGCAAGAAGCATGCAACGATTTAATTGAGCAATTAAAATACTTACATATTTATATTCACTTACATATTTCAGTGATAAACATAAATAAACATAATTAATATATATACCTACATACGAGTATAATACAATATACATACATACATAAAAATAAAGACTGTGGGTAATTAGCGTGATGATTCAGGCAACCACCCCACGAGAATTTTGAATTCAATTTTAAATAATGCTGTATAATAGTCTCGTGCGTAGCATATTAGAATATTGCAGTGTGGTGTGGAGACCCCACTACGCCACTCATATGTTGCGTTTAGAACGAGTACAGAAGCGTTTTGTGGTATTTAGCTTTTTGTGAAGGAAACTATAAACAGCTACCTTCCTACGAAACCGGTATGCAACATTTTAAGATACACACCCTATCCACACGCAGAGACGTCACAGATTCCATATTTTTATTTAAAATATTGAGAAATATAATAAAATGTTCCAAATTGTTGGGTCTTGTTAAATTCCATGCCCATGTAGAAATATTATTATGCCTTTATGCCCGCCAAAACGTAGGTCTGTACTAGGCAGAAACTCACCTGTACTTGGGCTATGTGGGATTCTTAATAGCTGCAGTAACTCAGTGGATTTAAGCTCGGACAGTATTAACAAAATTGTTAAAGTAATTGTAAATAAATAAATAATTATGTGACGAATGAATACCTATTTCTTTTCTTTCTTTTTCTTTTTTTAAAAAACGTTGCCCCACACTAGGATTACCTCCTGTGTCGTGGGTGCGTTTACAAACATATAAGTTCACATACACATGACACCCAGACCCGAAACAACAATTTGTGGATCGCACAAAGTGTTGTTCCGTGCGGGAATCGAACCCGCAACACGTTGCACGGCAGCCGGTTGCCCAGCCACCGCACCAACCGTGCAGTATTGTAATTTGATGAAATTTAATCAGTCAGGCAAGGCTCAAGCCCTGCCATTACAATCATTTTTTTTATTTTATTTTTTTAATAAAAACTTTTCCCCACTTTAGGATTTTCTCCTGTGTCGTGGGTGCGTTTACAAACATACAAGTTCACATACACAATGACACCCAGACTCGAAACAACAATTTGTGGATCACACAACGTCACAAAGTCCTCGCGCCCCCAGCCGGGGACCTTGTGATGACCCGACGACCAACTGTTATGCAGAAAACCCGCCAAGCACGATCACCTTGCCTAGTCGGAAGATTTTCCTTTTCCGATCTTAGGGAACTTCACCCACATCCCTAAACTATTCACTACAACTTTATTAGCTATAAATTTAGCACCATGACATAATAGAGTATGCAGATTGGTAGTTATCTGGTCAAAAAGTGAAAAGGAAGAAAAATATGTCTCGGTTGCGCAACAGCTGATTTAGAATCCGCCATTTTTCGAGATAATTAATAGATTCGTTTCCATAACTAACAACTTAAAAATCGTTTGTACAACGATTGTAACTTAAGTTGTAACTTAGCTAGCATTTATACCGGACCGAAGTTGAGGAAAAGATCAGATTTCATTCTATCGGTATGATGGAATAAATATTTGTGTTACTTGGCTATGTATTTTTTTGAATAGTGTTGACTGTGTCATTCCTATACATTAAATACTTTTCTAATAACGATATCATTCTTGTAGATTGTAATTTGGCTAGGGCTGCACCCTATTATGGTATAATTTTAATAATGAAAATAACCGTAATTATTATATTTTCGGGCTTACTCAGGTAATTATTTGACGAAGAACTCGATTAGTTTCGAGCCATGTTAGAGGCTCATATTCATGAGTAGCATTCCGCGACAGCCACCGCGTCGTGCGTCACGAGTAAGTCGAAAAACATAATAATTAATTTAGTATATCTCACGAAAGTTATAATTTTAGTATGAAAATAATAATTTACCATTTTTTTAATAGGCACTTTACCAGTATTGTGGCAAAAGTAAGCTGGGGTATAGAGAAAAGGTAGACAGAATCCAAATGAACATGCTACTCCCACGCCCAGTGCTGCAAGATAAAACTTGCTTGGCCAAGGAATTGGCGCGTCAACAGACTGTAACAAATAAAATAAGATTTCAAATTATAAACAAAATAGGTCATTTAGATAGAAATAGAAAACCAT